CCTCGCCCATCAGCGCCGGTAAACTGGCTAACACTTGATCATTTGTGAATTGTGAAGAATAGTTTATCACAGAACTGTTACTGAAATAACTTTTCTAATTTAGGATTTGGTTTTTTGTGTGTCCATCTACTTTTTCAGGATGGTCGGTGTGATTCAAGGGGTGTTCCTGGATGGGAGGCAGTGGATAACTTGGCAGAGTACCTTGTTGGTCTCAACCGCACTATAACTGCTTTGTCAACCACTGAGATATCTCAGATTGTGAGGTTGTATTCTTGTCTGCATGCCATTGACCAGTCTCCAACTAAATATTCGCTTAAACGTAAGAAGAAGACCTTGCCAGGACCTTGGAGAGCTTCCCGGAAGAGAAGTGGCTCGGCACCTGGTCAGCAAGCAGCTGAGAGGTGAATTAAACTTTAGTGGATGCACACATTTTGTAATTTACAAATATAATTAGTATGATCCATTTTATCTCATTAAACAACAGTTAATTCAATTTGGTTGGCTGGGAGGCATTTTAAGAATGCTGATATTTAGCTGGTAACAGCACTGGGACTTTTCATTGTATCAATGTTCACTTTGTGCGTATTTGTGGCTTTCATAACTGGCAATATTGTGTCTAAAATATATGTTACTCAATATTAACTTCTTGTTTATAGAACTTTTGTATAAAAGCAATGTCACATGAGCATGGGTGTTGTTCTGAATATCAGAATGGTTGTGATTACCTGTGGCCCTTGGCCTGTGGCTGAATCTCAGCTGTATGATATTCTGGAACAGCAGCAGAATATTGATTACTTTCTTCTATCTTTTTATTCACAGACTGTTCATGACTCATGGCCAGGCTGCCCAGAGACCTGATGTAAACAGGGTTTCGGAATGTGTTGCCATCAGGCTTCTGAAAGAATATCGGGAAGCCAGAAATAGGCCAAAAGATAACAAGGGGAAAACCTTTCCCATTCCCCAGGCAATTGTCATGACATACAGTCACATCAAACAGCTGCTTGAAGACTGCAGAGAGTTACTGGACCAGACCAACTTAGTGCTAGTAACAATAAACAACACCACAGTCTCTTCTTGGTGAGATGTGTTTTGGCTTCCTTGATTCATTTCAATTGTAAAACATTTGTGATATATTTGTATGAACAATATACAGAAATAAAAATTAACTGCAAGTTCATTCTATTGAGAACATCTTATGCAATTCAGTTCAATTACTAAAACTGTCTAATCCGTCCCCCCACCCACAGGCTGCTTGACCGAAAAAAGAGAACTGACCGGGACTCCTTGCTGCAAGGAGTGCAGCTTCCTCAGCAGGTAAATTCGGCAAAGGATTCCCTGCCAAATGCTAGGAGTCTCCCATCTTCACCTGTGGAGCATGGACATGCAGTCATGGAGTTCAAGGAGCCTGAAAACCATGAGGGTGAGGCAATGATTCGCCGACGTCACTGTGGCAGAACTGGGACTGCAGGGTCTTCCACCATGCACACACACACTGGGGTAGGACATCTTTACTGGCCTGGGACACAGAATTGTCCTGAGTGGGATTCCGGCAGGGTCAGTTCTTCTGGCTGGTCACCCTATCCACAGGGACAACCACCAAATCCAGCACCACTCTCTCAGGCATGGCCGCCCTATCCACCGGGACAACCACCAAATCCAGCGCCACTCTCTCAGGCATGGCCGCCCTATCCACCGGGACAACCACCAAATCCAGCGCCACTCTCTCAGGCATGGCCGCCCTATCCACCGGGACAACCACCAAATCCAGCGCCACTCTCTCAGGCATGGCCGCCCTATCCACTGGGACAACCACCAAATCCAGCGCCACTCTCTCAGGCATGGCCGCCCTATCCACTGGGACAACCACCAAATCCAGCGCCACTCTCTCAGGGATGGTCGACCTATCCACAGGGACAACCGTCAGCTCCTATCTTGGCAGCACCCCTCCGGGAATCGTCACCGTGAGTGGAGACTGCGAAAGACAGTACTTGAGGATCAGGAGCGTGTGGCTAAAGGGGAACCGCCTAAAAAGCGGCACTACAACGAAGGCTACCACTATCAGTGTAAAGACTGTGGTCAAGCAAAAAACAAACTTTCTGGCCATACCCAGTTGAGAGGGAAATGGTACTGTCCCGAATCTGGGCAAACCATCACAGAGTGGAAAGCCACCCTTTAAAACTGACTTTGTGTGCCACTTTGTTCAATAACTAATTTTTTATATGTTACTAATGTTTATACGTTACTGATTTTTATATGTTACTGATGTTTATACGTTACTGATGTTTATATGTTACTGATGTTTATACATTACTGATGTTTATATGTTACTGATGTTTATACGTTACTGATGTTTATATGTTACTAATGTTTATACGTTACTGATGTTTATACGTTACTGATGTTTATACGTTACTGATGTTTGTATGTTAAATCTGAGCTTATGTAATAAAGAGGATTTGGGAAAACAAGTGTGTCTTTCATGTTGATCAAGTATTATTGGTATATCTGTTAGGGATGAGCTTGTGGGGAATTTAACTGTGACATCCTGGAGAAAATGACGTAAAAACAAGTTAAGATAATTTTTAACTGTTATTAACTGTCATTTTTGAGAACACTAGGATGGATAGATAACATTTTCACTCCTCCCCTCTTTCCCTCCCTCTTTCCCCCCCTTTCCCCCCTTTTCCCCCATGCCTAGCAGTCCCTTTTGCCCTGTTTTTGGCCGAGTGGTTAAGGCGATGGACTTGAAATCCATTGGGGTCTCCCCGCGCAGGTTCAAATCCTGCCAACTACGTCTGGAGTTTGGTATGCCATTCAGGCAGGCCAGTACAGGGAATAGCAATGGTGACGATCTTCCTCAATGAAACTTCATGTGCATTAATTGCTGTTCACAGTTGTTACATACCTGCATGAGAATTTGCCAATTGAACAAATGGAATGCTTTTCTGAAAGATATCAAAGCTTTCAGAAAATCACATTAAAACTGAAATATATGTGATACAATCGGGGTAACACCCAGAGACACATTGCAGCAGTCACAGAAGACAGTAAAGTCAAATACACAGATGAGACCGCACATAGTACTTACCATTCAGGAAGGTCAGAGCCATTCCATGTGAATGAACCAGGTGATTCACACGTTGACAGGCAGTTATCACTCTAGATTGAGAGTAGGTACACAGCCAAATGATGCTCTCACTGATGTATTAAAAGGTATTGCTCTAAGAGATTTCAACACATGTTTCACTAAAGATATGTGCAAGAATTTGAATAAATATGTGTAAAGAGAAACACTTTAGTTAGAATCTCGACTACAATGAATGTGATTATAGTTTCACACTCCACATTCGTGGTGTCCAAATTCACTGAAAGTTGCCCCAGCTTGGTAGCACTTACTTCAAAACTGCAGTAAATGTGCTACAATTAGGGTGACTTTCAGCAGAGAAACATTGCAGGTCTCACACAAAGTAAGTAATGTCAAATACACAGATGAGACTGCCCCAAAGAGTATCAGTTATTGACGAAATCAGTGCTTCTATTTCAAGTAATCTAATTGTGCTTTATTTATGTACAGGGAATAGCAATGGTGACAATCTTCCTCAATGAAACTTCATGTGCATTAATTGCTGTTCACAGTTGTTACATACCTGCATGAGAATTTGCCAATTGAACAAATGGAATGCTTTTCATTCTGAGTAACCTGAATTTTCATATTTCATATTATTGCTGTTGCTGAAAGATATCAAAGCTTTCAGAAAATCACATTAAAACTGAAATATATGTGATACAATCGGGGTAACACCCAGAGATACATTGCAGCAGTCACAGAAGACAGTAAAGTCAAATACACAGATGAGACCGCCCCAACGGGAAGCACTCATGTATGTATTGTAAATCAAGTTGCTCCTATTTGAAGCAATCGAATTGTGGTTTCTTTTGAAAGTATTGGATGTCGTCCAACTGTTTAACGTTTAATACATTGTAAACAAATATATAGTATCTTTAGTTGCTTGAATCACCCAAAATCACCCCAACAAATAGTACTTACCATTCAGGAAGGTCAGAGCCATTGATAGGATATCAACTGTGACAATAAGACAGAGAGGTGGTCTTCTTCTTTGCATCTTCTCCTGCCATGTTTACCACAACAAATATAATCACTGCATGCCTGCTATCCTAGAAGTTGTCCACTGAGAGTTTACCAGTGACCACTTTTTCATTCTGAGGGGCCTGAGTCAAGTGATGTTCATTTCAATGCTTGGAGTCTGATCATAACTTGAGATTATTCACAGTCCAACCCACAGAAGCCAATGTGACAATAGAAGTGATGATGGCAGATCACTCCTTGTGAATGAACCAGGTGATTCACACGTTGACAGGCAGTTATCACTCTAGATTGAGAGTAGGTACACAGCCAAATGATGCTCTCACTGATGTATTAAAAGGTATTGCTCTAAGAGATTTCAACACATGTTTCACTAAAGATATGTGCAAGAATTTGAATAAATATGTGTAAAGAGAAACACTTTAGTTAGAATCTCGACTACAATGAATGTGATTATAGTTTCACACTCCACATTCGTGGTGTCCAAATTCACTGAAAGTTGCCCCAGCTTGGTAGCACTTACTTCAAAACTGCAGTAAATGTGCTACAATTAGGGTGACTTTCAGCAGAGAAACATTGCAGGTCTCACACAAAGTAAGTAATGTCAAATACACAGATGAGACTGCCCCAAAGAGTATCAGTTATTGACGAAATCAGTGCTTCTATTTCAAGTAATCTAATTGTGCTTTATTCGGAATGTATTAGCTATACCCGAGCATGGTTGACGACGCTCTAAGGCGCTGCGTTCAGGTAGCAGTCTCCCCTGGAGGCTTGGGGTCAAAACCCACTTCTGCCTTTTGGTTCCTTTGCTGCACCTCTGTTGAGTCTGTTTCTGAGAGCTTGTTAAAAGAAATGCATAGCTTTTTGGCAAATCTGCATAGCTTTCAGACAGTTAGTCAGGATGGCCGAAGCGGTCTAAGGCGCTGCCGTTACGAGGTCTCCTCTGGAGGCGTGGGTTCAAATCCCACTTCTGACATGCACTTTGTTGAGGGTCACTAAGACCAATCATAATGTAGTCCCTCTTTGCATGCTAAGATATTTAAATAGATCACCTGAAAGTTCCCTGCATATTGTAGATGCTTACAAACAGTTTGAAGCTTCTTTTTGCCACACTGTGGTTAATAAATGTTCATTGCTGCCAATTCTAGGCTTCAAATGATAGCACAGGCTTGATTTCATGGCACAGTGCGTAGACGGTTGCCAAGGGAACCAACTCCGCTGCTTTGTTGTGGTGTTGCGAAATACCGGAGCAGGGTCCCTAAGTGAAGCCGATACATTTCTGAAACAAAGTGCATGGAAATACGTTCAGACTTTTTATGTAGTTGTGGCCGAGTGGTTAAGGCGATGGACTTGAAATCCATTGGGGTCTCCCCGCGCAGGTTCAAATCCTGCCAACTACGTCTGGAGTTTGGTTTGCCATTCAGGCAGGCCAGTACAGGGAATAGCAATGGTGACAATCTTCCTCAATGAAACTTCATGTGCATTAATTGCTGTTCACAGTTGTTACATACCGGCATGAGAATTTGCCAATGGAACAAATGGAATGCTTTTCTGAAAGATATCAAAGCTTTGAGAAAATCACATTAAAACTGAAATATATGTGATACAATCGGGGTAACACCCAGAGATACATTGCAGCAGTCACAGAAGACAGTAAAGTCAAATACACAGATGAGACCGCCCCAACGGGAAGCACTCATGTATGTATTGTAAATCAAGTTGCTCCTATTTGAAGCAATCGAATTGTGGTTTCTTTTGAAAGTATTGGATGTTGTCCAACTGTTTAACGTTTAATACATTGTAAACAAATATACAGTGGTGTGAAAAAGTGTTTGCCCCCTTCCTCATTTCCTGTTCCTTTGCATGTTTGTCACACTTAAGTGTTTCGGAACATCAAACCAATTTAACCAATAGTCAAGGACAACACAAGTAAACACAAAATGCAATTTGTAAATGAAGGTGTTTATTATTAAAGGTGAAAAAAAATCCAAACCATCATGGCCCCGTGTGAAAAAGTGATTGCCCCCCTTGTTAAAACATACTATAACTGTGGTTGTCCACACCTGAGTTCAATTTCTCTAGCCACACCCAGGCCTGATTATTGCCACACCTGTTCACAATCAAGGCATCACTTAAATAGGAGCTGCTTGACACAGTAAGGTCCACCAGAAGATCCTTAAAAGCTACACATCATGCCGAGACCCAAAGAAATTCAGGAACAATTGAGAAAGAAAGTAATTGAGATCTATCAGTCTGGAAAGGGTTATAAAGCCATTTCCAAAGCTTTGGGATTGGGAATCCAGCGAACCACGGTGAGAGCCATTATCCACAAATGGCGAAGACATGGAACAGTGGTGAACCTTCCCAGGAGTGGCTGGCCGCCCAAAATTACCCCAAGAGCGCAGCGGACGACTCATCCAAGAGGTCACAAAAGACCCCACAACAACGTCCAAAGAACTGCAGGCCTCACTTGCCTCAGTTAAGGTCAGCGTTCATGCCTCCACCATCAGGAAAAGACTGGGCAAAAATGGCCTGCATGGCAGAGTTCCAAGGAGAAAACCACTGCTGAGCAAAAAGAACAGAACGTCAAGTCGTCTCGATCTCCACAACACATCTTGATGATCCCCAAGACTTTTGGGATAACATTCTGTGGACCGATGAGACAAAAGAGGAACTCTTTGGAAGTTGTGTGTCCAAGTATATCTGGCGTAAAAGGAACACTACATTTCATAAAAAGAACATTATACCAACAGTAAAATATGGTGGTGGTAGTGTGATGGTCTGGGGCTGTTTTGCTGCTTCAGGACCTGGAAGACTTGCCGTGATAAAAGGAACTATGAATTCTACTGTCTACCAAGAGATCCTGAAGGAGAATGTCCGACCATCTGTTCGTGTACTCAAGCTGAAACGAACTTGGGTTCTGCAGCAGGACAATGATCCTAAACACACCAGCAAGTCCACCACCGAATGGCTGAAGAAAAACAAAATGAAGACTTTGGAGTGGCCTAGCCAAAGTCCTGACCTGAATCCTATTGAGATGTTGTGGTATGACCTTAAAAAGGCCGTTCATGCTCGAAAACCCTCTAATGTAACTGAATTAGGACAATTCTGCAAAGATGAGTGGGCCAAAATTCCTCGAGGACGCTGTAAAAGCCTCATTGCACGTTATCGCAAACGGCGTTGGTTGCGTTGTTGCTGCTAAGGGTGGCCCAACCAGTTATTAGGTTTAGGGGGCAATCACTTTTTCACACAGGGCCATGATGGTTTGGATTTTTTTTCACCTTTAATAATAAACACCTTCATTTACAAATTGCATTTTGTGTTTACTTGTGTTGTCCTTGACTATTGTTTAAATTGGTTTGATGTTCCGAAACACTTAAGTGTGACAAACATGCAAAGGAACAGGAAATGAGGAAGGGGGCAAACACTTTTTCACACCACTGTATAGTATCTTTAGTTGCTTGAATCACCCAAAATCACCCCAACAAATAGTACTTACCATTCAGGAAGGTCAGAGCCATTGATAGGATATCAACTGTGACAATAAGACAGAGAGGTGGTCTTCTTCTTTGCATCTTCTCCTGCCATGTTTACCACAACAAATATAATCACTGCATGCCTGCTATCCTAGAAGTTGTCCACTGAGAGTTTACCAGTGACCACTTTTTCATTCTGAGGGGCCTGAGTCAAGTGATGTTCATTTCAATGCTTGGAGTCTGATCATAACTTGAGATGATTCACAGTCCAACCCACAGAAGCCAATGTGACAATAGAAGTGATGATGGCAGATCACTCCATGTGAATGAACCAGGTGATTCACACGTTGACAGGCAGTTATCACTCTAGATTGAGAGTAGGTACACAGCCAAATGATGCTCTCACTGATGTATTAAAAGATATTGCTCTAAGAGATTTCAACACATGTTTCACTAAAGATATGTGCAAGAATTTGAATAAATATGTGTAAAGAGAAACACCTTTAGTTAGAATCTCGACTACAATGAATGTGATTATAGTTTCACACTCCACATTCGTGGTGTCCAAATTCACTGAAAGTTGCCCCAGCTTGGTAGCACTTACTTCAAAACTGCAGTAAATGTGCTACAATTAGGGTGACTTTCAGCAGAGAAACATTGCAGGTCTCACACAAAGTAAGTAATGTCAAATACACAGATGAGACTGGCCCCAAAGAGTATCAGTTATTGACGAAATCAGTGCTTCTATTTCAAGTAATCTAATTGTGCTTTATTCGGAATGTATTAGCTATACCCGAGCATGGTTGACGACGCGCTCTAAGGCGCTGCGTTCAGGTAGCAGTCTCCCCTGGAGGCTTGGGATCAAAACCCACTTCTGCCTTTTTGGTTCCTTTGCTGCACCTCTGTTGAGTCTGTTTCTGAGAGCTTGTTAAAAGAAATGCATAGCTTTTTGGCAAATCTGCATAGCTTTCAGACAGTTAGTCAGGATGGCCGAGCGGTCTAAGGCGCTGCGTTAAGGTCGCAGTCTCCTCTGGAGGCGTGGGTTCAAATCCCACTTCTGACATGCACTTTGTTGAGGGTCACTAAGACCAATCATAATGTAGTCCCTCTTTGCATGCTAAGATATTTAAATAGATCACCTGAAAGTTCCCTGCATATTGTAGATGCTTACAAACAGTTTGAAGCTTCTTTTTGCCACACTGTGGTTAATAAATGTTCATTGCTGCCAATTCTAGGCTTCAAATGATAGCACAGGCTTGATTTCATGGCACTGTGCGTAGACGGTTGCCAAGGGAACCAACTCCGCTGCTTTGTTGTGGTGTTGCCGAAATACCGGAGCAGGGTCCCTAAGTGAAGCCGATACATTTCTGAAACAAAGTGCATGGAAATACGTTCAGACTTTTTATGTAGTTGTGGCCGAGTGGTTAAGGCGATGGACTTGAAATCCATTGGGGTCTCCCTGCGCAGGTTCAAATCCTGCCAACTACGTCTGGAGTTTGGTTTGCCATTCAGGCAGGCCAGTACAGGGAATAGCAATGGTGACAATCTTCCTCAATGAAACTTCATGTGCATTAATTGCTGTTCACAGTTGTTACATACCTGCATGAGAATTTGCCAATTGAACAAATGGAATGCTTTTCTGAAAGATATCAAAGCTTTCAGAAAATCACATTAAAACTGAAATATATGTGATACAATCGGGGTAACACCCAGAGATACATTGCAGCAGTCACAGAAGACAGTAAAGTCAAATACACAGATGAGACCGCCCCAACGGGAAGCACTCATGTATGTATTGTAAATCAAGTTGCTCCTATTTGAAGCAATCGAATTGTGGTTTCTTTTGAAAGTATTGGATGTTGTCCAAACTGTTTAACGTTTAATACATTGTAAACAAATATATAGTATCTTTAGTTGCTTGAATCACCCAAAATCACCCCAACAAATAGTACTTACCATTCAGGAAGGTCAGAGCCATTGATAGGATATCAACTGTGACAATAAGACAGAGAGGTGGTCTTCTTCTTTGCATCTTCTCCTGCCATGTTTACCACAACAAATATAATCACTGCATGCCTGCTATCCTAGAAGTTGTCCACTGAGAGTTTACCAGTGACCACTTTTTCATTCTGAGGGGCCTGAGTCAAATGATGTTCATTTCAATGCTTGGAGTCTGATCATAACTTGAGATGATTCACAGTCCAACCCACAGAAGCCAATGTGACAATAGAAGTGATGATGGCAGATCACTCCATGTGAATGAACCAGGTGATTCACACGTTGACAGGCAGTTATCACTCTAGATTGAGAGTAGGTACACAGCCAAATGATGCTCTCACTGATGTATTAAAAGATATTGCTCTAAGAGATTTCAACACATGTTTCACTAAAGATATGTGCAAGAATTTGAATAAATATGTGTAAAGAGAAACACTTTAGTTAGAATCTCGACTACAATGAATGTGATTATAGTTTCACACTCCACATTCGTGGTGTCCAAATTCACTGAAAGTTGCCCCAGCTTGGTAGCACTTACTTCAAAACTGCAGTAAATGTGCTACAATTAGGGTGACTTTCAGCAGAGAAACATTGCAGGTCTCACACAAAGTAAGTAATGTCAAATACACAGATGAGACTGCCCCAAAGAGTATCAGTTATTGACGAAATCAGTGCTTCTATTTCAAGTAATCTAATTGTGCTTTATTTGGAATGTATTAGCTATACCCGAGCATGGTCGACGACGCTCTAAGGCGCTGCGTTCAGGTAGCAGTCTCCCCTGGAGGCTTGGGATCAAAACCCACTTCTGCCTTTTGGTTCCTTTGCTGCACCTCTGTTGAGTCTGTTTCTGAGAGCTTGTTAAAAGAAATGCATAGCTTTTTGGCAAATCTGCATAGCTTTCAGACAGTTAGTCAGGATGGCCGAGCGGTCTAAGGCGCTGCGTTAAGGTCGCAGTCTCCTCTGGAGGCGTGGGTTCAAATCCCACTTCTGACATGCACTTTGTTGAGGGTCACTAAGACCAATCATAATGTAGTCCCTCTTTGCATGCTAAGATATTTAAATAGATCACCTGAAAGTTCCCTGCATATTGTAGATGCTTACAAACAGTTTGAAGCTTCTTTTTGCCACACTGTGGTTAATAAATGTTCATTGCTGCCAATTCTAGGCTTCAAATGATAGCACAGGCTTGATTTCATGGCACTGTGCGTAGACGGTTGCCAAGGGAACCAACTCCGCTGCTTTGTTGTGGTGTTGCCGAAATACCGGAGCAGGGTAGCCGATACATTTCTGAAACAAAGTGCTGGGAAAGACTTTTATGTAGTTGTGGCCGAGTGGTTAAGGCGATGGACTTGAAATCCATTGGGGTCTCCCCGCGCAGGTTCAAATCCTGCCAACTACGTCTGGAGTTTGGTTTGCCATTCAGGCAGGCCAGTACAGGGAATAGCAATGGTGACGATCTTCCTCAATGAAACTTCATGTGCATTAATTGCTGTTCACAGTTGTTACATACCTGCATGAGAATTTGCCAATTGAACAAATGGAATGCTTTTCTGAAAGATATCAAAGCTTTCAGAAAATCACATTAAAACTGAAATATATGTGATACAATCGGGGTAACACCCAGAGACACATTGCAGCAGTCACAGAAGACAGTAAAGTCAAATACACAGATGAGACCGCACTCATGTATGTATTGTAAATCAAGTTGCTCCTATTTGAAGCAATCGAATTGTGGTTTCTTTTGAAAGTATTGGATGTTGTCCAAACTGTTTAACGTTTAATACATTGTAAACAAATATATAGTATCTTTAGTTGCTTGAATCACCCAAAATCACCCCAACAAATAGTACTTACCATTCAGGAAGGTCAGAGCCATTGATAGGATATCAACTGTGACAATAAGACAGAGAGGTGGTCTTCTTCTTTGCATCTTCTCCTGCCATGTTTACCACAACAAATATAATCACTGCATGCCTGCTATCCTAGAAGTTGTCCACTGAGAGTTTACCAGTGACCACTTTTTCATTCTGAGGGGCCTGAGTCAAGTGATGTTCATTTCAATGCTTGGAGTCTGATCATAACTTGAGATGATTCACAGTCCAACCCACAGAAGCCAATGTGACAATAGAAGTGATGATGGCAGATCACTCCATGTGAATGAACCAGGTGATTCACACGTTGACAGGCAGTTATCACTCTAGATTGAGAGTAGGTACACAGCCAAATGATGCTCTCACTGATGTATTAAAAGATATTGCTCTAAGAGATTTCAACACAGGTTTCACTAAAGATATGTGCAAAAATTTGAATAAATATGTGTAAAGAGAAACACTTTAGTTAGAATCTCGACTACAATGAATGTGATTATAGTTTCACACTCCACATTCGTGGTGTCCAAATTCACTGAAAGTTGCCCCAGCTTGTTAGCACTTACTTCAAAACTGCAGTAAATGTGCTACAATTAGGGTGACTTTCAGCCGCATCACCGCAGGACTCACACAAAGTAAGTAATGTCAAATACACAGCTGAGACTGCCCCCCAAAGAGTAGCACTTATTAATGAAATCAGTGCTTCTATTTCCTGTAATGTAATGGTGTTTTATTTGGACAGTATTGTCTGTCAAACTACGAATGAGAACTTGCATTAAACCTGCATTAAAAGTCTTCTTGATTCAAATCCAGACTGTGCACAGCAGATTGGCAGTCCATCAACTTAACCTATTGCTGACATAACTCACACTTATGAAATTACATGCCAGTCTGTGGAGTCTGTGGAGAATAAAGGAGGATTTGATGCACATTGTTTGCCATTGCAATTCTAGCTTTTCATGTTTCTCCACCCACACTTGTTCTGTCTCATGGATCTGTCCAGAGCCTGTCACCTGTAGGCCTTGTATGTGTGAGACAGACTGCACCCAAGCCAGAGGTTGTTGTAAAGTGGAGGCAAAACAACCTGTCTGCGATGAGGGTGGGACTCGAACCCACGCGTGCAGAGCACAATGGATTAGCAGTCCATCGCCTTAACCTTTCGGCCACCTCATCCGAAAGCCTTTTCCCAGATCCTCACAAATAAAATTTTTGCCTAGCATGATACACTTTAACAAACATGTGTTGTGAAGGTCAGACTTTGACTGATCCCTGTTCCTCAAATCAGACATGGTACTCACTCACACCTGATTGTTATGCCATAGACTGAAAACACCTGACACTGATTTCCCCTTCAAACTAACAGCTCACGCATGTCCCCAACTTGCTAGCACTTACTTTAAAACTGCAGTAAATGTGCTACAATTAGGGTGACTTTCAGCCGAGAAACATCGCAGGACTCACACAAAGTAAGTAATGACAAATACACAGATGAGACTGCCCCAAAGCGTAGCACTTATTGATGAAATCAGTGCTTCTATTTCAAGTAATCTAATTGTGCTTTATTTGGAAAATATTGGCTATACCCGAGCATGGTCCACGACACTGTAGCTTATGTGTGTCAGGATGGCCGAGCGGTCTAAGGCCACAGGTCACACAGCGTTCAGGTCACAGTCTCCGCTGGAGGCGTGGGTTCAAATCCCGCTTCTGACATTTGGTTTCTTTGCTGCACCTCTGATGAGGGGGTATTGGGCTGTTCCTGAGAGCTTGTTTAAATAAATGCCCCTGCATAGTTTGGAGTAAGAAGGTGGCTTGGTCTGAGGAATCACGTTTTCTTTCACATCATGTACAGCTTAGGGTTATAATAATAATAATAATAATAATAATAATAAACTTTATTGGGGTTAGAAATGGCTTGAAAAGGCTTGAAAAGACGCTTTGCCCAGGAGTTGCACTTAATCCTTGTCTTACGCTCAATTCCTGGTAAGGCTTGAAAAGACGCTTGGCCAAGGAGTTGCACTTAATCCTTGTCTTACGCTCCATTCCTGGTAAGGCTTGTAAAGACGCTTGGCCAAGGAGTTGCACTTAAGCACTTAAGGTGGCTTGGTCTGAGGAATCACGTTTTCTTTCACATCATGTACAGCTTAGGGTTGGGGTTAGAAATGGCTTGAAAAGGCTTGAAAAGACGCTTGGCCAAGGAGTTGCACTTAAGCCCTGTCTTATGCTCCATTCCTGCTAAGGCTTGTAAAGACGGTCCAATAGAATGGTTAGGCCCGCCGCTCAGCCATTCACACTAAATGTAAGCTAACGACTAAAGTGTATTATCTCTTTTAACATACTAGAAATGTATTTAATGGTAAAACGGGATATTTCCTGGAATTCCTGACTGCTACCGCTGGTGAGTGGCGTAGCTCCTTTGAGTTAAATGTTTTGTAACTGTGTTTTACGTCAAGTATTAAATGATGTGTATTAACCGTTGCACCCTTGAGCAGTAAGAAGGTGGCTTGGTCTGAGGAATCACGTTTTCTTTCACATCATGTACAGCTTAGGGTTGGGGTTAGAAATGGCTTTTAAAATGCTTGAAAAGACGCTTGGGGCCAAGGAGTTGCACTTAAGCCTTGTCTTACGCTCCATTCCTGGTAAGCCTTGTAAAAGACGCTTGGCCAAGGAGTTGCACTTAAGCCGTGTCTTACGCTCCATTCCTGCTAAGGCTTGTAAAGACAGTCCGATAGAATGGTTAGGCCCGCCGCTCAGCCATTCACACTAAATGTAAGCTAACGACTAAAGTGTATTATCTCTCTTAACATACTAGAAATGTATTTAATGGTAAAAAGGGATATTTCCTGGAATTCCTGACTGCTACCGCTGGTGAGTGGAGTAGCTCCTTTGAGTTAAATGTTTTGTAACTGTGTTTTACATCAAGTATTAAATGATGTGTATTAACCGTTGCACCCTGGAGCAGTAAGAAGGTGGCTTGGTCTGAGGAATCACGGTTTTCTTTCACATCATGTACAGCTTTGGGTTGGGGTTAGAAATGGCTTGAAAAGGCTTGAAAAGACGTTGGCCAAGGAGTTGCACTTAAGCCTTGTCTTACTCTCCATTCCTGCTAAGGCTTGTAAAGACGCTTGGCCAAGGAGTTGCACTTAAGCCTTGTCTTACGTCCATTCCTGGTAAGGCTTGTAAAGACGCTTGGCACGTGGGAAATGACCAAAACATAAAAAAGCCAAGGAATTGCACTTAAGCCGTGTCTTACGCTCCATTCCTGCTAAGGCTTGTAAAGACAGTCCGATAGAATGGTTAAGCCCGCGCGCTCAGCCATTCACACTAAATGTAAGCTAACGACTAAAGTGTATTATCTCTCTTAACATACTAGAAATGTATTTAATGGTAAAAGGGATATTTCCTGGAATTCCTGACTGCTACCGCTGGTGAGTGGAGTAGCTCCTTTGAGTTAAATGTTTTGTAACTGTGTTTTACGTCAAGTATTAAATGATGTGTTTTAACCGTTGCACCCTTGAGCAGTAAGAAGGTGGCTTGGTCTGAGGAATCACGTTTTCTTTCACATCATGTACAGCTTAGGGTTGGGGTTAGAAATGGCTTGAAAAGGCTTGAAAAGACGCTTGCCAAGGAGGTTGCACTTAAGCCTTGTCTTACTCTCCATTCCTGCTAAGGCTTGTAAAGACGCTTGGCCAAGGAGTTGCACTTAAGCCTTGTCTTACGCTCCATTCCTGGTAAGGCTTGTAAAGACGGCTGCACGTGGAAATGACCAAAACATAAAAAAGCCAAGGAATTGCACTTAAGCCTTGTCTCATGGTTCTTTCGCCTGGTGTGCAAAAGAATAGAGCGGTGTTAGCAAACAGACTCCCCGTCGGGAATCGAACCCCGGTCTTCCGCGTGAGCGGCGGAGATACTGTCCACTATACGAACAGAGAATCCTACTTATTCGCTGAAAGACGGTTGGCACTTTGGATAGCATCAAACATAAACGATAAAACCATAAATGATCCAAGAAATTGCACTTAAGCCTTGTCCTGTGCCCCATACACCGTGATGGCCAACAGAATATGGCACTGGACTTGAACTGCACTGGGGCTTTACCTGTGCAAGTTGAAGCCTGCTATGAACCTGAGTCTTAATGCAGAGAATCTTTATGAAGATGAGCAACAAAGCACCTTGGCATTCATCAAACAAGCTCGTGCCAAACACATCTTCCATCCTGGGAAATTGCATTGACGTAAAGGAAGTCAAACGAATCCTGCTTTGAGACAATGTCCACTGTAAAAAGCGCTACACAAATAAAATTGATTTGAACTGAATCGAATGTGTACATGTAAAGTTGTAAATGGTCTAGTTACTTAATTGAAGTAAATGTATTGAAGAAGGGCAGAAACATGAGAATATAAAGATGCACAAACACGTTTATTGGCTCCAGAAAAAATAGTCTAGTGTTTCCTTAAATCACTTTGCGCCTTTGCTTGTGAAGAGCAAAATTTGAATAGAAAATCTCGTCTCGTTTGCTAGCTCACTTATCAAGGATAACTATAAAATACTTTATATTATAAAATACTATTAGTAACCCATAATTAACTAAATGGTCTCGCGCCGCAGTATCTAAGCGACCTTTTGCTTTTCTATGATCCGCCACGCCTACTTAGATCAAAAGATGCAGGCTATTTGTTCGTACCTCGAATAGCGAAGGCTACAACAGGAGGATGAGCTTTCTCTTCTGGAGCCCCACACTTATGGAACAGTCTTCCAATTAGAGTTCGGGACTCAGTCTCAGTGTCTAGGCTTTAATCGTATTTGTTTAATCAAGCCTACCCTGACTAGACTTTCTCTTATGCTAAGCACAGTCCTAGTTTTTTTTCTCTCCCTCCCTCCTTCTGTCGAGCCACACCCGATTTTATGGAGATACTAGAGATCCTGATCCCCTCTGCTCTCTGGACCTACCTGATCCATTTTGGATGGCCTACCTCTGGATGGAGCTCTCATCTACTCCAATTCCAGATTGCTGGGACTACAGCTGCTTCTAAGGCCAAAGAGACTCCATATGAATCCATAATCATCTTTTTCACACTATCTGATGTTACCCAGATGAGGATAGGTTCCCTTCTGATTCTGGTTCCTCTCAAGGTTTGTTCCTCTTAACATCTTAGGGAGTTTTTCCTTGCCACCGTCACCACTTAGTGGCTTGCTCAGTTGGGATAAATTCGCACCTTATATATCGATATACCGAATGGTTTTATAGATATACATGGATTGAGCTTTGCTTCACCTCCGATAGCTCAGTTGGTAGAGCGGAGGACTGTAGGTACTTAAACTAGTCATCCTCAGGTCACTGGTTCCAATCCGGCTCGAAGGACGGATTTCTCTGTGTGATATGTTTTCTTTTTAAATGTTAATTTGGCCAGCGGTGGATAAAACACCATTCCCTGACCGAGAATCGAACCCGAGCCGCGGCGGTGAGAGCGCCGAATCCTTACCACTAGACAACCAGGGACGAAAACCAAGAAAATGGTGGCCTCTACACTAGCTATGCTGGCCAGTTTCTTCCATCAAAAGCTCATAGAAACTGGACATGAGCATCAGCACAGGACAGTGGAGCAGTAAGAAGGTGGCTTGGTCTGAGGAATCACGTTTTCTTTCACATCATGTACAGCTTAGGGTTGGGGTTAGAAATGGCTTGAAAAGGCTTGAAAAGATGCTTGGCCAAGGAGTTGCACTTAAGCCCTGTCTTACGCTCCATTCCTGCTAAGGCTTGTTGAATGTTCAGGATCTGCCCAGCATCAAAATGAAAAGGGACAATAGCTCTGATGATAGTTCATGTGAAGAAAAAAACAAACAAACACACAGTTGGCAGAATAAATTTCACCAAATTCACTGGGAACAGTTCAACTTAATCTGTATGAAGTGAAAAAATGTCACCGTTTCAACATTTCATATTATTGCTGTCACTACAAAGGTATCAAGAGCTTCAGAAAATCACATTAAAACTGAAGTATATGTGATACAATTGGGGTAACATCCAGAGATACATTGCAGCAGTCACAGAAGACAGTAATTTCATATTATTGCTGTCACTGAAAGGTATCAAGGCTTTCGAAAGAAAATCACATTAAAACTGAAGTATATGTGATACAATTGGGGTAACATCCAGAGATACATTGCAGCAGTCACAGAAGACAGTAAAGTCAAATACACAGATGAGACTGCCCCAACGAGAAGAACACTAACGAATGTAATGCAAATCAAGTTGCTCCTATTTGAAGTAATCGAATTGTGATTTCTTTTGAAAGTATTGGATGTTGTCCAAACTGTTTAACGTTTAATACATTGTAAACAAAAATATAGTATCTTTAGTTGATTGAATCACCCAACATCACCCCAACAAATAGTACTTACCATTCAGGAAGGTCAGAGCCATTGATAGGATATCAACGGTGACAATAAGACAGATAGGTGGTCTACTTCTTTGCATCTTCTCCTGCCATGTTTACCATGACAAATGTAATCAGTGCATGCCTGCTTTCCTAGAAGTTGTCCACTGAGAGTTTACCAGTTGACCACTTTTTCATTCTGAGGGGCCTGAGTCAAGTGATGTTCCTTGCAATGCTTGGAGTCTGATCATAAATTGAGATGATTCACAGTCCAACCCACAGAAGCCAATGTGACAATAGAAGTGATGATGGCAGATCACTCCTTGTAAATGAACCAGGTCATTCACACGTTGACAGGCAGTTATCACGCTAGGTTGAGAGTAGGTACACAGCCAAATGATGCTCTCACTGATGTATTAAAAGAGTATTTGCTCTAAGAGATTTCAACACATGTTTCACTAAGCATATGTGCAAGAATTTTAATAGATATTTATAAAGAGAAACACTTTACTTAGAATCTCAACAACAATGAATGTGATTATAGTTTCACACTCCACATTTGTGGTGTCCAAATTCACTGAAAGTTGCCCCAGCTTGTTAGCACTTACTTTAGAACTGCAGTAAATGTGCTACAATTAGGGTGACTTTCAGCCGAGAAACATCGCAGGACTCACACAAAGTAAGTAATGTCAAATACACAGCTGAGACTGCCCCAAAGAGTAGCACTTATTGATGAAATCAGTGCTTCTATTTCCTGTAATGTAATGGTGTTTTATTTGGACAGTATTGTCTGTCAAACTACGAATGAGAACTTGCATTAAACCTGCATTAAAAGTCTTCTTGATTCAAATCCAGACTGTGCACAGCAGATTGGCAGTCCATCAACTTAACCTATTGCTGACATAACTCACACTTATGAAATTACATGCCAGTCTGTGGAGTCTGTGGAGAATAGAGGAGGATGTGATGCACATTGTTTGCCATTGCAATTCTAGCTTTTCATGTTTCTCCACCCACACTTGTTCTGTCTCATGGATCTGTCCAGAGCCTGTCACCTGTAGGCCTTGTATGTGTGAGACAGACTGCAACCAAGCCAGAGGTTGTTGTAAAGTGGAGGCAAAACAACCTGTCTGCGATGAGGGTGGGACTCGAACCCACGCGTGCAGAGCACAATGGATTAGCAGTCCATCGCCTTAACCTCTCGGCCACCTCATCCGAAAGCCTTTTCCCAGATCCTCACAAATAAAATTTTTGCCTAGCATGATACACTTTAACAAACATGTGTTGTGAAGGTCAGACTTTGACTGATCCCTGCTCCTCAAATCAGACATGGTACTCACTCACACCTGATTGTTATGCCATAGACTGAAAACACCTGACAGTGATTTCCTTTTCAAACTAACAGCTCACGCTTATGCCCCAACTTGCTAGCACTTACTTTAAAACTGCAGTAAATGTGCTACAATTAGGGTGACTTTCAGCCGAGAAACATCGCAGGACTCACACAAAGTAAGTAATGACAAATACACAGATGAGACCGCCCCAAAGAGTAGCACTTATTGATGAAATCAGTGCTTCTATTTCAAGTAATCTAATTGTGTTTATTTGGAAAGTATTGGCTATACCCGAGCATGGTCCACGACGCTGTAGCTTAGGTGTGTCAGGATGGCCGAGCGGTCTAAGGCACTGCGTTCAGTTCGCAGTCTCCCCTGGAGGCGGGGGTTCAAATCCCACTTCTGACATTTGGTTCCTTTGCTGCACCTCTGATGAGGGGGTATTGGGCTGTTCCTGAGAGCTTGTTTAAATAAATGCCCCTGCATAGTTTGGAATTTCCTTTACATAGATTTTGGGTCATTTAGTCAGGATGCTCGAGTGGTCTAAGGCGCTGTGTTAAGGTTTCAGTCTCTTCTGGAGGTGTGGGTTCAAATCCCACTTCTGACATGCTGCACTTTGTTGATAAGACTGTTCATAATGTAGTTGGCATGCTGGGGTGCAGTTGAGTCGGGTAGGTGTGGTTAGTGTGAATGTGATCTCACGGCAGGTGTTGGGTTTAGTTTGATTACCTGCCTTATTCATGTGCTTGTGTTTCCCGAGGGCGTCGCTCGGTAATGTGTTTATATATGTATGATTGTGTTTATACAACTTAAACACCGGTCTTACCACTAGACAACCAGGGATGAAAAACAAAAAAATGGTGGCCTCTACACTGGCGCTGCTGCGGCGGTGTCTTCCATCAAAAGCTCATAGAAAATCACATGAGCATCAGCACAGGACCATGGAGCAGTAAGAAGGTGGCTTGGTCTGAGGAATCATGTTTTCTTTCACATCATGTACAGCTTAGGGTTATAATCATAATAATAATAAAAATAATAATAATAATAATAAACTTTATTGGGGTTAGAAATGGCTTGGAAAAGGCTTGAAAAGACGCTTTGCCCAGGAGTTGCACTTAACCTTTTTTTCCGGTCAATTCCTGGTAAGGCTTGAAAAGACGCTTGGCCAAGGAGTTGCACTTAATCCTTGTCTTACGCTCCATTCCTGGTAAGGCTTGTAAA